ACCCAAAATAATTGAAAGAAGGATCTCAAAGAGGTATTTGTACACTCATGTTCATAGCAGTATTACTGCAACTACTAAAAGGTAGAAGCAACCCAAGTGTCCATCAACAGATAAATGGATAAAGAAGATGTGGTATATACATACAATGAAATATTCTCAGCCTTAAAAAGGAAGAACATTTTGTCACATGCTACTACACGGATGAAATTGAGGATATTATGACAAGTGAAATAAACCAATTACAGAAAAACAAATGTTGTATATGATTCTACTTAGTATCAGGTACCTAGAGTAGTTGAATTTATAGCCGCAGAAAATAAACTGGTATTTTGGCTCCTTCCTTCTTTGGTTCCCAAGGGCTACAGAAGGCAGAATGTGGAGTTATTGTTTGGGGTTGTACAGAATTTCAGTTGGGAAGATGGAAAAAGTTCTGGAGATGGGTGGTGGTGATAATTGTATCACAATGTAAATGCCCTAATGCTACTAAACTGCACAGTTAAGAATGGTTAAGATAGTAAATTCTGTGTTATGCATATTTTACCACAGTTTTTTTAAACATGTACCAGCTTATTAAAGGATTTAATAAGAGATACAGATGAACAACCAGATGAAGAGACACATAGGACAAGTCTAGAAAGGTCAAGAACACAGGAGCTTCTCTCCCCATGGAGTTGAAATACATCACCCTCCCAGATACATGGATGCATTCACCTACCTGGAAGCTCTCTGAGTCCCATGCTATTGGGATTTTTATGGATGCTTTATCAGATAGGCATGTTTGATCATTAATTCCATTTCCAGTCCCTCTCCCTTCCTAAGAGAATGGTGGGAAGGAGGAGGGGACTAAAAACTCTAAGTTTCTGATCATGGTTGTGTCTTCCCAGGGACTAGCCCCCCATCCATTAGCCACCCAGGAGCCTACCCAGAGTTACCTCCTTAGAACAATATGCACCCCTATTGTCCAGGAAATTATAAAGGTTTTAGGAGCTCTGTGCCAGGAACTGGAGGCAGAGACCAAAATCTATTTTCCATTTTTGCAGCTTGAACAAATGAATAGGGAAGAACTACCAGGAAGAGACTACATTAGTTAAAATGTCATATATTATCCATCCACAAATGCATAAAATTTATCTACATTTTAGAGCCGTTACATGGCTCCTTAAAGTCTGTCCTAGACTATAAATTAAAAACCCCTCTCTGCAGTTCTTCTTTCTTTCTCAGTAATGCTTCAATCATTCTTCTAGTCTTTATTTTCTATTACTCAATTGTCACTTCTAAATAGGACCCATCAGCTTAGCTGAGTGCATTTTCTGCATGTATTTTATTTTTTATTTTTTTTAAACTTTACGTGAGTATACTTGACACACAATGTTACATTACTTTCAGGCGGACAGCATAGTGATTCAACATCTCTATACATTATGCTGTGCTCACCACAAGTGTCCTCGTGCTTCCCTATTACAATATCGTTGACTATATTCCCTATGCTCTTTTATTCCTGTGACTTACTCATTTCATAACTGGAAGCCTGCTTCTCCTACCTTCCTTCACCCATTTTCCAGCCCTCCATCCCCATCTCTCTGGCAACTACCAGCTTGTTCTCTGTATTTATAGGTCAGATTCTACTTTTTGTTTGTTTGTTTTTTCATTTGTTCTTCAGATTCCACATCTGAGTGAAATAAAATGATATTTGTCTTTATGTGACTTACATAGTATAATACCCTCTACGTCCATTTATGTTGTCACAAGAAAAGATTGAATCTTTTTATGCCTGTGTAATATTCCAGTCTCTGTGTGTGTATCTCACATCTTCTTTATCCATTCAATGGACACTTGGGCCATGTCCATATCTTGGCAATTATAAATAATGGCATAATAAATATGGAGGTGCATTTATCTTTTTGGATTTCTTTGGGTGAATACCCAGTAGTGGAATTATTTGATCATGTGGTATTTCTCTTTTTAATTTTTTTGAGGAACCTCTATACTGTTTTCCACAATGGCGGCACCAATTTGTATCCCCACCAACAGTGCACAAGGGCTCTTTTTCCCCACACCCTCACCAACACTTATTGTTTCTTATCTTTTTTTATTTTAGCCATTCTCACAGGTCTAAGATGATATCTCATCGTGGTTAATCTGCTTTTCCCTGGTCATTAGTGATGTTGGACATGTTTTCATGTGTCTGTTGGTCATCTGTAAGTCTTCTTTGGAGAAATGTCTTTTCAGGTCCTCTGCTCATTTTTAAAATCATATTGTTTTATTGTTGTTATTCCTGTTTTGGTGTTAAGTTGTATAAGTTCTTTATAAATTTTGGATATTAGCTCCTTATTGAATGTGTCATTTGCAAATATCTTGTCCCATTCCATAAACTGTCTTTTTGTCTTGTTGATTGTTTCTTTTACTGTGCAAAAGCTTTTATTTTGATATGGTCCTAATAGTTTATTTTTGCTTTTATTTCCCCTTCCTCAAGAGACATACTAGAAGAGTGTTGCTATGGCTGATGTCAGAGAAATTACTGCCTGTACTCTATTCTAAGCTTGTTACGGTTTTAGGTCTCACATTTAGGTCTTTAAAGCATTTTGAGTTTATTTTTGTGTATGGTGTGAGAGAGTTCACCACATTTTTTTTAAGTGTACAGAAATGTACAATTTTGCTATTTTACTCCAAGAGCTTATAAAATGTATTACATGGATAACAAGGAAAGCACTGATTTAGTACAAATATCTAGTCCAGGTGTTTATCTGGTATCTCTGTACCTGCTAAGATTTTCAAAAGATTGTTTGAATTCCTATTCCAAATCTGGTGGAAGTTGAAACTTCTTTCCAAGATTTGTACTAATTCTTAATAGTGGAGTTTGCCTCTGGTTCTTAGTTTCTAATTCCATTGAACTATCCCATGTGAATAATTTTTTTACACACTCCCAAAAATCAATTCCCCTCTGCATTATATATACCCAGACTCTCCTCAATTTCACAAACGTGAAATGAAGCATTAAAATGCCTCACAGTCATGTGTATTTGGAGAGTTAACTGAAGGTTTCCTTCCAGAGCTGGAAAGTGGGGCTTGCTTGTATCACAACCTAAACAATATCAAATGGAATATTAGGCACCCAGCTCTGAAAAGTCATTGTAGTCTCTGTCCCTTGATCACATCACACTTGTAATACCCCAACCTCACACCACATCAGGCTCATACTCATACTATCTCCTGCTTTGCTTTTCTCTCTTCACATCTCTTCCACACTCTTTCATCTACTTTCTCTCATCTTCCTCAAACTTCCAAATTCTTCTACATCATATTAGCAATGAAGACTTCTCTAACCCGTACCCTCAAATCTAGCCCTAAGACCTACTAGGACATCTGCAGAACTAAAGGACCTTCATATGGCTCTTTTCCTTTTTAGAAAGCAGCTGTGGTCATGATAGGTATTTTCCCCTTGTTTCCAAGGAAAAGGACCAGTACTCAGACCTTTCCTACACCTTCTCTTCTTTCTCCTTACCTAAGGCACCATGAGCTGGATTCACCTCCTCAAAGACAGCAGGCTATTCTTCTCTGTGGCTTCCCACAGAGAGGAAAAGTTCACCTGACTCTAATCAGTCCAAAGCCTAGTCATACAGTTTCAGTTCAACAAATGTGGTTTATTTCCCAGGTCCTCCACACTGATGCTGGGACTCGTGGTTGGAGTAGAACTTCTGCAGTGAATTCTACAAATTGCAAGAAAATCTCTTCTCTCTTCCATCCTAAGAAAGAATTCCATGGTGCCCCTCAAGCCTTGAAAATGAAGACAAAAAAATAAGTATCTCACATTCAGCTAAACAAACCACTGTGTAAAAGCAAGGTTCATTCATTTTAGACGTGTAGGTTCTGTGAGGGCTTATTAGTTAATGTTTATCATTTATTTTAAAAGTCCACAATAGTCAAACTGTGGAAGGAGCCTCGGTGTCCATCGAAAGATGAATGGATAAAGAAGATGTGGTTTATGTATACAATGGAACATTACTCAGCCATTAGAAATGACAAATACCCACCATTTGCTTCAACGTGGATGGAACTGGAGGGTATTATGCTGAGTGAAGTAAGTCAATCAGAGAAGGACAAACAGTGTATGTTCTCATTCATTTGGGGAATATAAATAATAGTGAAAGGGAATATAAAGGAAGGGAGAAGAAATGTGTGGGAAATATCAGAAAGGGAGACAGAACATAAAGACTCCTAACTCTGGGAAACGAACTAGGGGTGGTGGAAGGGGAGGAGGGTGGGGGGTGGGAGTGAATGGGTGACGGGCACTGAGGGGGGCACTTGACGGGATGAGCACTGGGTGTTATTCTGTATGTTGGTAAATTGAACACCAATACAAATTTTATTAAAAAAAAAAGAAAGAAAAAAAATAAAAGAAACAATAGCTCCATGTGTAGGACCTAATACTTTAAAAATGAATGCACAAACCAATTTGAGTTTCTATACAAGGCTGGCCCGGGTTGACTTTTACTAACCATCTATTTCGAAGGAAGGGGAAAATGTTTTAAGTAATGTTTTTTAAATTAGTAGAAATGGATGATTGCTAATGTTTCAATACAATATTTTAAGATTCCTAGCCATCAAACAAAAAACAAACAAAAAACAAACCAAAAAAACTCCACCATGCTACTCTGATAATGTAAGGGGACTACTTGAGAAAGATGCTGGATCAGTCATTTATTATTTTCTGAAATCTATTCCACTTATTCCTATTTCCATAAATTAAGTGACTAATTTTTTTTCCTTTCACTCGCTGACATTAACTCTCCAAAGATGTACACACAGTATTGTATCGTTCGCAAGCCAAAGTAAGAGGAATGTGAAAGTAAAGGATAGAAATCACCAGAATGGTGAATGGAAAGGATTCTGTGACTTATTAGGATAAAAAAATCAGAGAAAAAACCTATAGCACAAAAATAGCCAAATAGATAATTTTTAAAAAAGATTTTATTTACTTATTCATGAGAGACACACATACACACACAGAGGCAGAGACACAGGCGGAGGGAGAAGCAGGTTCCATGCAGGGATCCTGATGTGGGACTCGATCCCAGGTGTCTAGGATCATGCCCTGGGCTGTAGGCGGTGCTAAAAGCCGAGCCACCCAGGTTGCCCCAAATAGATCATTTTGAATGACCTGCTGGTATGAAGCTGTTAAGCTCTCAAACCCCAAAAGAGACATACATTCAAGAATGGAGGGGAAATTCTTTAAGTGTATGTGATTTATGTGTTTTGGCAGCCAGATGAATAGCAAGAAGACTATTCTAAAGACTACCCGCATTCAGCGAAGTGGACTCTGATTTATGGCTATGATCCAGTTTGGAGATGACTGGGCTAGTGCCAGAAGCAGGTTGTAGTGAGGGCTGCCACTTCCTTACGAGGAGACCAGGTCACAGTCACTTGATCATATGCATCCATCCTTCTTCGTGCTCCTTCAATACATTTTTCTTGAAATGCTTATTACAAGCACTGGGTGTTACACTATATGTTGGCAAATCGAACTCCAATAAAAAAAACATATTAAATGAATGAATGAATGAATGAATGAATAAAAAAGAAATGCATATTACTATGCGTGAACCAAAAATAGTAAGTTCTGGATTGCACGAATTCCTTAAAAACTGGCCAGTGACCTCAAATACCTGCTTGCCTACGTAACAGATATTTGTTGGTCTTTAGCTTATGGTTGCAACATGCACCTGGTGTTATGGGAGCAGAGGGAATCACATTCTTGCACTACATTCCTTGCTGTCAGAGGAAATACCACAGGGCTCCTTCAACCGGAGCACCTCAGTGATGATGCAAATACGCCCCTGAAGATAAAGTTCTGGGTAAACTGTGAAGGCCTATCCAGCCGGCTCAAGTGGAAGTAGTATCTTCAGATGCATTCTCAGGCTGCTGTGTCTGGTGGGTATCACACCTGCAACAGGAGAATTATGAACTTCTCAAGAGTTTACAAAAATGTTTGCACCCTGAAAAAGACAAAAGCAAAAAAAGAAAATAGTCTAGTCAAAAATTATAGTCATTTGTTGTAAAGCAACAAAGTTGTTCTAATTTTCCAAATGCAACTCAGTAGATCTGGCAATATGTAAATAATGTTTGAAGTGGGCTGTTTATTCTATTTATTTTAACATATTTGAAAAATGTGGGCTGGGGACCCCAAAAGTAAGAGTATCAGGACTTATGAGGGCCTTTGAATAGTCTCTGCAGAGATGAGCCTGGATTCAAAGCTGGTCTCAACTGCATACCAGTTGGGGACTTGACAAACTACTGTCTTAAATGTCTTAAGCTTTAGCTTAGTATTCTAGAACATGGAGATGACATCAAACAAAGCATTATGAATAAACAATACTTTATTACATCTAAACTGCCTAACATAATGCCTGGCACTCTTTGGTTTCTTAATATTTTTTGTTTTTCTTTTCTTCCATATATAGTAGGCACTGCTGTTGATGTTTTTCTAAACATGTATTTGTGGGTAAGAATGCTTGGAATCAGTTGACAAATAACAACTTCAGCACACAATTGTTCTGGTCATGTGAAAATCAACTTCCCTCGGTGCATATCTGATTGTTGTCATCCTCCCGAACAGGAGGCCCTGAGGAGATTGTTAGGAAAATAATAATATATCTAGAGATGTCTTGACTTCCCAAGGTGGTGCTATTGTGATACTAAGAAAAGGGCTTGCCCGGCTGGGCTGGATGATGTATACTCAAGAGACACTTTATGGTCTCCTCAGAGAATTTCCCACTCAGCTTCTCCCATTCTCTCCTTGTCTTTCTTTTGCCTGAACCTCTGGAAAAAAAAATAACAGATTTTGCTTTTGAAAACGGCATCCATCTTAATTAGTGATATGCTGGATCATATGATTTCTTTTTAAAATTATGAAGACTTGAGTCGTTTTCTGAAAGTTCATTTTTTATTTTATATTTGGTAGTTACAGTCCTGAAATAAATTTCATCTCCAGAGAGATATGAAAATTTGCGTGAGGAACAGATGAGTGAAATTTTCACAACTCAGCCTGCATTTCTCTTCCTTCCCATAGTTCATCATTTTTGTTTTGAACATCGCTTTCTTGCCTGTATGCCCCAAATGCATTCTTTTCTTAGTCTTTCTTAAAAGTTTGATGTGTTTTCTTGGACATATCTTCACTAACTAGCCATTTGGTTAGAAGATCACATTGATTTTATTGATGTCTGTATGGTACGTAACTAATAAAAATGTTATTAAAGCTAATCAATTCCCTTCCAAATCAACCATCTTGTCTCTGTCCACTAAAAGTATGATTTTACTGCATTATGAGCTCTGCATGACCCCTAACACCTTTGATCTCAATGAACCAGTCCAAGAACAGGACTAGGGAATCCTCTGACTCCATGTCACTCTGAAGTGTTACATTAAGCTATCTATGGAGGCAAGAGATTTTTGGCTTTTACAGAACAAGCTCTAGTCACACACAAATATTGTTATCCATAGAAATATTGTACCAAGTGCCTACATTTTCAGTTGAGGTCCATGAAGAATCCAAACTATTAGCCCATGTCAGGAGATTTCCCTTTTGCCCAAGTGTACCCTTCATGGGTTAAGAGAATATCTAGATCTGGGTTATAAGAGACTCATTTTGTAGAGAAGGAAATTCAAGTTTAGTAAAGTTGAGTGGGTTTCCCAAGGTAGCCACTGGTTTGATGCAGAAGTGGAAATAGAACGTAAGTCTTCTAGGCTTTTGACCTATGGTTCTTTCCTCTGCATCAAAATGTGCTATAAGCCTCATGGACTTTTTAATGTCCCTGGTGATTTCTGGGAAAGGAGAGAAAGTTGTTATCCAAGAACCAATGAGTTAACAATCCTGTTTCCTTGGCTCTGACCAACCTTTCAGAGGTCTAAGTTGGCTGTCTTCTGCCTTCCTGAACCTCTGCTTTTTAGTCTTTTCCACACTAAAAGCAGCACAGGAGTCAGATACTGTGTGGCACTGCTATGCTCCTGATTGGAAAGCATATTTTTTCATATACTCAGAATAGGTCCATAGCAATACTTTATAGATACATTTATTATAGTTTATAAATTGACTCCCAGTTTGTTATTTATCTGAATTTTTAAAAAAAAACATTATTTCATTTTACAGTAATGTGGAATACAGAATGGAAACCCAGAAACAGTGAAGCATAGATAGCTACATTTGCTCAGCACTTGACAGTTTAGAAAGTCCTTTTCATATACATTCTCTTATCTGATGGTAGCAACAACCATAAAAGCAGAAATCATTGTTACCATTTTGCACATAAGAAACTAACACTCAGTGAAGTTACATAACTTGGCCAAGGTTATTCAAAGAGGCAATTAGCAAACACTTGTAATCTTGTACACTGTTGGTAAAAATCTAAATATTCATTTTCATGTGTATTTCATGTTTATTTATAAATTGTACATACATGATACTCTGTTAATAAGTTGACTATGTTAGAAAACCTACTCTAAAAATGGGAATTTTAAGGATGAGAAGAAGATAAAATAACCAAGAATTGTTTAAGTTATATATGAAATAAAAGTTTGTGCTAACACAGAAAATAGTATTAATGACATTTTGAGTGAGAAAAATAGAGTTCCATATGGTTTATTATTTTTCAAAATTCTGGTTTCTCATAATTTAGCAATTTGAATTTCTGTTTTTTGGCTAATTTATTTGGGTACTTGATGTTATAACCAGATTAAGATTAAAATGGAAAGTCACTCATCATTAATATGTAAATAAAATAGAAGTATGTTGTTGATCATACTGACTAAACTGTGGAAATCATTTTCAAGTCCAACTACCAATTATGCAAAGTTTTCTATTAAAATTCTGTTCAAAATTTTCCTCTTGTCTGATTTGAGCTAATTATTCTTTCAAACTAAGCAGAAGATATTAAGATACTGCTATTTCGTATTATTAGCAAATGGGCTTGGACTTCCAGTTTCGTCTCTGGCATGTCACTTAGAAGTCATCACTGTCATCTGTTCAACAAGATAAAATTGAACGAACTAAAAATCAATGACCTTTTTTGTATCTATGAGAGAACTGATGTCATGAGGCAAACTGTGACTGAAGTCTCATAGCTGAGATCCCTTGTCTGGAGCAGAGGTCACTGAAGCCACCAGTAGAAATACTTAAGTGGGGGGCTAAATGTGGACTGCCTGGAGGGTGAGAAACTTCTGGCAGCTGAATTCTCGGGGGACCCCTTACTTTTACACGTGAGAACTCCAACTGCTCAAGATGGAGAGCCAAGAAAGAACCTTTCATGAAATATACTCAGTGTGTTCTCTGTAACAAAGGCCTACTCTCCAAGGGGGAATAAAACTTTCGTAGGGCCTTATCCATCTGGGGGAAGGACATTTCTCCAGTTTATCCTCCTTTAGCCTTCCTAAATCATGTAAGAGGGGAACAAAAACTAAAAAATATTTGTGAAGGTCAAAGCCCAGGAACTCGGGACCACTGTATGGCTAAGGTTTAATCATAAGATGATAGAAAACTTCCACTTTCTCACCTTACCCCTATACCCACAGGACTCAAGTATAGCCACAGTTGATCACAGCTGAAAGAGCAGCGAAGCATAGACTCTACATGAGGGGGGCGGTCTTAGGGAAGCCCAAGGGGGTTCAAAAAATAAACACTATAGAAATTTAAGGTTGTTACTGCCTACATCTACAACAAATATTCAACAGCACAACTGTAGCCATTACCATAAATCTTCACACTAATTGCTTCAGTTCCTTCTACTCAATGTCTGATTTAAAACAAAACAAAACAAAACAAAAAAGATCCAAGGCACACTAAAAGACAATGAGAAATTTAAAAAAATACAACACAGATTTCAAGAGGCAAAATAATCAGAATCAGACTCAGTTATGACATAGTGTTTGGAATTGTCAAAGAATTTAAAAATAGCATGTGTTAAAAGCTCTGATGAAAAAGGTGGACAACTTGCAAGAAAAGATGGGTAATATAAACATAAAAGCAGAAAGCCTAGGGAAAAACAAATTTGTTCAAATCCATATAAACTTGAACCTTTTTTCATTTAGAAGACATAAAGGATGCAATAAATAAACAATATCACCATCCTTAACCTCTCCATGATATGGAGGTCCCACTCTTTTTCTAAGATTTCCTCTCAAGCCATATATGATGAGAGACATTGATGTACAGATCTAGTGGATAAATTGGTATATCAATCCATTTATTAAATAAATATATATGTACCCATTTTGGAGATGACTGCCCTATAACACGGCTAGCTCCAATTTTACTTTGTGTAACTGATCTATGGAAAAAGAGATAATTCATGTTTTGATACTATTTTCCATTGTGACCCTTGGTTGAACTATGGCCTCCAATAGTTGAATATTTTTATAGAGAGAAGAATAATAAGAAAAGTTAATAATAAACTTTTCACTCAAATTGACCCATCATCTGATCTGATATATAGAATCAAAGGTAGTAAGAGTAAGCTAGTATTTAAAAGGATGGAAACTGGCCTGACTAAAGGTTAATTCACCTTTCATTTAATATAAAAATAGAGTTGTCTCAGTTAATATTTATTTCCAAGTTATTTTAATTGACACAAGTGAGAATTGAAGAATCTTGGGTTTGACTTTTTCTCTAGTTGATTATGACAGAATTATAGTGCTCATCAGCTGTATATCATTTGCTACCCTTCATGTCCCAGTCCTCTTTGGATACAGCAGGGCATGAGACTGGCTCTGGATGTTGGGTTGTGAGTAGAATTGGCATGGGTCACTTTTAGGTCAAAGTACAGAAGAAGAGGTGTGAATTCTTCATCTGTACTCTTTCAATATGGTAGAGGCTGCATTAGCTGTGTCCTTAAGTTTCCAAGAGTAGAAGAACCTCATTCCACCTCTCTCCACACACACAACTACATTGGGATACAGCACGAGAAAGAAAAGCATTGGTTATGTCACCAAGATTTCAGAGCTTGTT